ATTAAAATGACTGCTTAATTGCCTTTTAGTGTCTTGTTAGTTATAAATGTACATCCTTAATGGTTCTTTAATCTTTATTTGCCCGTATAAATAGGTTACCTGTCATAGAGTCCCACAGAACTTTCTCCGTGCCAGTCCAGGCCAAACTCTTGCTCACATGTTTATTGCTGCTCTTGATCTACTAATTTCCTTGACCATTTACTTATGCCCAACTTAAACATGTAATCTCATGGTGAACAGAGATTTTTGTTCTGTCCTCAAAATATTCATGGATGTTGCAGCCATCCGGGTTTTCTGCAATGCTCCTATTCACGTGATTAATTTCTGTATATTCTGCTCTCCTGAACCGAGGCACACTTGCTGGTTCCGCCTCACCGCCCGGGTGGGTTTTATTGCTCAGCCCTGGGGACTCTTAAATGACCCTTCAGTAATTATTACACACTTGAAGCCCCTACCTCCCTGTTCTGGGGCTATCAACAGTCACATCAAACCCCAAAATAAACATACGATTTCAAGCATTAATTAGGAAATCTGCATGTTTTCAATAAGGTTAGAAAGTAAGCATACAGCAGTCAACCAAGTCAAACAAACGAAAAAGAAAATGCTAAGAGCTGAACTCTGCCTTTCCCCCTCACGTCGTTCCAGCAGGAAAATCATTGCTGCTACATCAAGGAAAGGACACAGCACGATGTTCTAAATTAATTCGAGTTCTCATACCTCCAATACTCTTTCAAATGGGTGATATTTCCTTGAGTGTTGAAAAAACTTCAGAAACTATGAAATTTAACCCAAGTCTAGAGCTAGTGTTGAGGTCAAATACCTGGTTTTAAGAAGACTTGAGAGTGGTCGGACCGACCCTTTGATGGAGGTTCTGATGCTACATCCCTACAATCCCACGCCCCATTATTCATCTGTGGGAAAGTTCGCCCTCTGTCTCCTATCCACCCCAACCTTCCCCCAAAATCCTCTTCCCTGCTAACTTTGGCTTTGCTTCCCCTCATTACAGCAATCTCTTAATGTAAAAGTATTCTTTTCAGGAGTCCAATGGAAATGTCATACTCCAGGGACTTTAACTTTTTTTCTTGTGTTTTTAACTGGTTTACATTTTTAAAAACCTGAAGTCGTTTGTCTTCGTTCATTTTAGAAAAGCTTAAAAACAAAACATTTACAATAAAAACAAGGGCTCAAGCAAAACTTTTTACACTTTTACTTTCTCAAATGAAAAAACTTTCACAAATATCAAATTGGAACGGGGAGATATAAAAAGAATAGAGCCTCCAACCAACCTATGCTTGGAGCCTTTTAGCTTAATATTTGAAATTGTTGCAAACCTCCCACGCTCACTTGTGATTTTAAAGGGGGAAAAAGTCCTATGAAAGTATGTCTCCAGTCCCAATCAAAACATCAATTTGGCAATCTGGCCTTTTTTCCCCTAGCGCTTCCGAACCGCCACTTCAAAGCCGCTACAACAAGTCAGTAATTGTAAGTTGCATCTAAATATTTAAGCGACAGTCTAGGAGTCGCGTGTCCATTTACAGTCCTCATCTGTCCTCTAATTCCATTACGGCACAAAGCAAAAATGTTTCTCAAAACTCACAAACAGGAAAAGCGTCACCCTGCTGCATTAAGGGGGGAGGGGAAGGAGGAGGAGGAGGAGTTGATGATGAAGGAGCAGTTTCTATTGATTAGTCACTGCTTTTGTGTTAAGGGCTTTCTTTAAAATAAGGGGGGAATGGGGGGAGGTTGCAGAAATTTCACTAATGTGAGCCTCAGGCAAGGGAGGAAAAAAAAAAAGAAAGAGAAGAAGGGGGAGGCGGGCTGTGTCTAGATGAAAGTGAGAAGGACATAAAGGAGGCAATTGAGTCGGCTGCAGCCCGGCGAGCTAAGCTTCGAGCCGGCCGGAGCGTAAGGGAGGGGGCGGCGTGGCGCGGCGCTTTGGCGCAGGGCGCAAGAGTGGGGGCCCAGCCCATTGTGGCGGCGCCCGCGGGCCCGCTCGGCCGCGCCGGGGGAGGAACAGAGGCGCCCATTGAGCGGCTGCAGCGCGGGCCGTCCCCACGGCCCTGGGTGCCTGGGCCGGGGCTGGGCTCCTCCGGCCGCGCCAGCTCCGATCTCAGCGCAGGCCGTGAGGGGTGGAGTGGGGGTGGGGGAAAAGGTTCCTGGGCCGTCCAACCCTCTCGCTTCACCCGAGTGAGGGGGCTGGAAGGGGCGCACAAAACTCAGCGCGCGCCTGGGCGCACCAGCCAGAGCGCACCAAGTCCGCTTGCCGCGCTACCCTGGGATTGGGCGAGGAAAAAGGGAAAGTTGACCGGGCAAAGAAGACCATCAAGGAGAAAGGACAACACCCTGGAGAGAGAACGAGAGTGGTTCTCACCTCTTTCAGGGTGCCTTTTTTCCAGGCCCAAAGGTGTCCCCAGGAAAACCAGCCTCAGCAGCACCCACCAGGCCCATCAGGATAGGACATCCGGCGACAGCACAATGCAGTGGTTAGAAAACCCAGAAGTCCCTCCTCCGCCAGCTTTTCCCTCCACCTCCGTCCGGACGCTCAGGGCTCGTTCTTAACCTACATTCTATTTTGCAAGCCGGGCAACCTAAGACTTTTGATGCCCAAAGAAGAAAGGGGGATTTTTGAGGTTTATAGACTTCAAACTCCATCACAGTCCGTCCTTTCTCTGGGCCCCGCTTGCCCTTCAGGGCTCAATCCGGAAAGGGAGCTGGAGGCACTGCACAGACTGACGCTGCATCTTCCCTGACAACCCCAAATTAAATTAGGCTTCAGCTCTCGAAGGGGGTGTGTGTGTGTGTGTGTGTGTGTGTGTGTGTGTGTGTGTGTGTGTGTGTGTGTTACGGCATAGCCTCCACTGGGGAGAATACTCTGATTTTAAAAGTGGTAGCAACTGCTCTTGAATGGCAGCCGGCCCAGCTAGACGGCCCAAAAGACTAGAAACATTTTGTAGGTGAAATGGCCACTTTTTCCACACTGGAGAGTCCATAAAACTTCCTGGCGCAGCAGCTATTGGAGCTCATTGAATAATTCATCCCTCATTGCAAGCCCATAATGTCTATTCTGGGCCCTTTGTGGGGCTGTTTTCTCTTCTTTTCTCCTTGAATTATAAAAAGGTTGCCTTCCTTTGTTCACATCAAGCTGCTCGGAGCTGGAGCTTTGTCTGGGCCAAGCTAAAGTGTGAGTTTCAATGGACTCTCCAGGCTTTGTCTCCCAAGTTCATCTCCAAGTGTAGATTGTGTAGAGAAGGCCTTCTTTGTAAAAGCTGGAAAAGTTGTACAAATGTTTGACCAGCTCATTTGGGACGTTTTGTCTCCTGGGCCTTGGTTGCCTGTGCTGTGAGGGAGCTGCGGATCTGCCCAGTGCGCTTCCAGCAACAAGTAGGGAAACCATGGGCTGCAAGCCTCTTCAACAACTCTCATTGCCTGGAGCCCTTTTGGTTTGGGGTTGTCTGACTCCTTGACTTCCTCCCACCCCAGCACCTCTATGCTGCAGCTAAGGCTGGAATAAAAGCAGAAGTATCGTCTCAAAGACCAGGGCAGAAAAACACCCCTCTAAAAAGAGAGGCTTAGACTGAGTCCACGTGAGGCCCCTGCTGTAAAGGGAGACAAGCACCAGCATAGGTTACTACCTCCTTCCTCAACCTGCTTCAAGTTTGGGGCATCTCTTCAATTTCCTTTAAGGCCCAGAGCATCTTTACTTCAATGTATTCAGAAAGTCAGACATTGGGGTTTGTAACATCCAATTCTAAATTTCCTCATGTACAAACTTTGTAAAGAAGTTGCTTTGGAAGGTCAGCACCACTTCAGGGTTAGACAATGACGGTTAAAAGAAAGAAAGAAAAAAAAAACTACCAGCTTCCTGACCCACAATCCCACTCTGGACCCCACCAGAGTCAGAGCAAGGTCCCAGCTGTTCACTGTGGGTGACTTCTCTAAGCCTACCTGGAGAGCTACCTGGCCCTCTGGGGGCAACTCCAAAACTCAACTCAGCCCAAAGATGTCCAAGCCCCAGGCCAGAGAACTCCAGGTGTGGGAAGACACTCCACCTACTCCTGATCATTTCTGAATTTGAAAAGATGCAACTATCTGCAAGGCTAAAACCACTGAGACCCAATCCCCACTCCTTCTGCAATAATATTTTCCTGGTTCAACTCCCTAGGTGTGAATAGTTTTTCCATGCCTGTGTGTGTGTGTGTATGTGTGTATAAAACTTTGAAGTTTGAAGATGATTCTAAGCAGGTAATGGGGAAGCAGCCTGCAATTCTTGCTCCCATGGGGGAAAATTTTCGGTAGGTGCAGACAGGCCACAGCCAACATGGAGTAGATGGTCTGTAACCCTGAGAGACAGAGGGTGCCAACACTAAGGGCCCAAGAACACAGATCACTTTGACTTTGGGCTCATTTGATTCCCAGACACATGCAGGTTAAACCCCCAACACACTTGAAAACAAATGAAAAACAGCCATCTTCACACACACACACACACACACACACACACAGCAGGTGGGATGATTTTAGATGCCCACTGGTCAAAAGATTCTCTCTCTCTCTCTCTCTCTCTCTCTCTCTCTCTCTCTCTCTCTCTCTCTCAAATTCTGAGATTTTTCTGAGGTCGCAAAAGCCACTTCAAACTCTGGAGGCTTAAGTAGCCTGTATCCTAAACCCCAGTATTTCCATCTGCCATAGACTCCACCACCACTTTCTACAGCTGAATTCAGTTCTAAACTCGGAAGTAGTGCGGAATAATAATAATAATTGTGCATGAGACCCTAAGTTTGATTCCCAGCACTACAAAAATAAAATAATTAGAATAGGAGAGATTTTTGGCTATTTTAAGTACATCTCCTGTCTTTCACTTGAGTGCTCAGGAGCTCGGTGGCTGTGAGCGAGGAGGGACTTTGACACCAGCGGTGACTGGGCAGTAGTCGGGTCCCCAACATCAGAGAACCGACGCTAGCCAAGGCCAAGAAAGCACAGCACACCACTCCGCGGCTTACCTCGCTCGCTCAGGATGCCATCGATGCTGTGTTTAGCCTTTTTCTCGCTTTCCTCTGCCTCCTTCCTCTCCAAATCGGCCTCCTCCTCTTCGCCCTTCCCGAATTTACTCCTCAGGATGCGGCTGATGGAACTCACTGAAGGCAAAAGGAGGAAGGGAGCGCGCAGGATTGAGATGCACGGGGCTAGAACCGTCGCCCTGTGAGGCCTCGGTGTCACCTTCTCCAGTATCTGGGCATCCGTGTCCTTTTGACGTCCTCTCTCCCTCTCACTCAACCCCCCCACCCTTTTGTGGGCCTCTAGGTACCGAAAGACAGAGCCTGGACAGCTTGCGCCTTCAACTTGGAGCGGAAAAATGCTATCTTTGACCCTCTCTGTCCGGCTGGAGGCGTTTGCTTCTTGACTCGACACACCGGACTCTAGGTCTCCAATCTAAAACTTCCGCCAGCCCACCCTGGCTCTTCCCGCCTCCCCACCTGAAGATACTGGGTCCCGCGGCTCGCCTTAAGTGAAGAACCACAGAGGACCTGTCTCCTGCAAATCAATTTTTTTAAAGGGTTTAAATTTCAACTGCAGAATCGTTTCCTATTGTAAAAATCAAAAGAAAATGCACTCTCCCGCATTTATTTTTTCCAGATTCCAGTCTGGTAAACAAATCCATGCTCTGAAATATATAGTTCTCGCAGAGGGAAAAAGGGAGTTTCCTTTTAATTAAAAACAAACTCTCCCGCGCGCCCTCGCGCTGGCCCTGCGCTGGTCCTTCTTCTCCCTCCGCCTCCCCCAAGCTGCCGGGGGCGCCGGATGGTCCCTGGGACTCTCAGGAAAATCCGAGCAATTCCCCAGGCCCTCCTTCCGCACAGGCGAAGTCTCCACTGGTGCGGCCCCATCTCCCTTCGGTGGGGGTTACCAAAACATTTGTTTCTCTTTAAAAGGGAACATCAATATTAATAAACGCTTGGCCGTCGCCTCACGTTTCCTTCTCCGCCTCGTCTTTGGGGAGACCTCGGTGGCGGTCTCTCAACCCTCCACCCCTGGGACAAACAGCTCACCCGAGCTCCATAAAATACCAAGAACGTCTGATTTGCAAACTATTTCAGGGCTTTGGGAGAGGCCGCCTCCCAATAGCCAGGATCCACAATTGGGGCGATTGTGGCGCGGACGACCCGCCCCCGTAACAGCGACTGGACGGTCGCGTCTCGAGAGACCTTAATGGGCCTAGTACCTGAGGGCACAGTGTTTCGATCACAGACCGCGTCCTTGAGTAACTTGTCTCGGATTTCCCAGCTGAACATGCCCGGGTTCTCTCTTTTGTATTCCTCAATTTTCTTCTCCACGTCAGGCGTTGTCACCTGCTTTAAGAGAACAGGCGGGCCCCGCGTTGGTACCCGGTACTCTGGGCCAGACACGGCGGCCCCACTGCCTCCAGGCCTTCACTGATGCTCCATGCGGCATCCTCTGGGAAGGTCCCCTTGTTAGCCAAAGGACCCCAACTGTCTGAGTTGGTTCATTTTTAGGAAGAGGCAGACGGGAAATTATCCCACTGCAGAGCAGCCTGGGGACCCCTCACTTGCCCAGATAAACTCGGACAACCGGATTAAATTAAGAAGAATTATAACATCTTTCTGATCTCTGGAAATGAAGGCAACTCCTTACACCGAATCACACGAAAACGAAACTAAAAACAATGCTTCAAAAGGCAGCTGAAAAATCACATTAGCTCGACAACTTGTGGCACTCCAGAGAGGAGTAAGATTTTTAGCTAAAGTGAGGAACAGAGTAAGATGCTGGAAGAGGAAGGATCTAAGGCTTAAAAAATTAGAGGGAAAGACAGATAGGAATAATTTGAGACATAGGCTCTTTCTCCTCCACACCAAAAAAAAAAAAAAAAGCATTTTCCAAAGATTCTTAAGTGGAAAAAGGATTGGGGAAGGAGAGAGAGTGAGAGGGTGTTTGGAAGTCTTCAGTTTGCCATAACCCTTTTGATTTTGCCCCCTGGCAACTAGAAAATAATCATTCTGACTCTTCTCCACAAGCAAAAGAAAAGGCAGACCCTGTGTAATCTCCTTCCACTAGCCCTAGGCAGTGTGACTCTTTGTAAAGAGAACCAAAATAATTTGAGGATAGCACCAAATTGCTTTTTTAAAGTGGAGTCATTGGACTTATGACAAAGAAAACCGAACACCCTGGCTTTTGACTCCTTGAAGACAATTTGCACTAGGGAAGTTAGGGGAGAAGTTGTTAAAGGGGGAGTGGACTCTTTAAGTCCGTTTTGGACAGGGCCGGTACAAAGGGAATGGGTGGAGGTTGGGAAGGACAACAGGTGGGCACTTACAGCTTGCTTCTTTTGCTTGCTTGCTTTTTGTGTTTGTTAAAAACAATTTGATGAAAAATCCAGGGTTCCAAGGCATTTGAAAATATTATTTTTCATTTGCAAAAACCTGGAGTTTGTCCACAGCTTTCATCAAGGAGTGTCAGACTCCAGTAGCAACTGAGTTCTCTGCATGCTCACACACACACACACACACACACACACACACACACACACACACACACACACACACCCCTTCGTGGATTTGGAAAAGAACTCCTTGAAAATTCCCAGGTGGCAGCCCTTGCCCCCTGCCCTCACTTTCCCATCCGATCAACCACAGGCCATGAGGCGCAAGCGCCAGGCCCACGCGCTCACCTTGGGCTTGCTGCCACCGATGGCACCGGGACGGATGGAGCCCGTCTCCTGGTACCTGCACAGGATCTTGGAGACGCAGCCGTGGGACACGCGCAGCTGGCGGGAGATGACGCAGGGCCGAATGCCATGGTGGGCCATCTCCACTATCTTGTGGCGGATGTGATTGGGCAGCGGCCTGCCGTTGATAAATACTCCGCCGAGCTGGTTGACGCGGCCCTGGCCGAGCGGAGTGGATACTGGGAGGAGAAAGGGAAAAAAAAAAAAAAAGGAGGAAAGTCACTTAGTGAGAATACACCAGGAAGAGGAACCCAACTAATTTTGCTCGTTTCTGGCCAATCCGCACGTGACAACCCAACGCAGAAACTGCTCCACATCCGACTCCCAGTCCCAGCCACTCTTTTGGTCACATTTGTTCAAATTATTAAGCAGCTCAATGAAGCGAGTAACCCGGGCAAGAAAATTCTCCTTTGGGCCTTCCCTTTGGAACCAGGAGAGCTGGCAACTTGGAGGAAGACCCCAGGCTGGTGTAGAGACTGTCTTGCTATAGCAATAACTATCATCAAACTTTGCCCAATTGGAGCTGCCCTAAGGGTCTTGGGCGAGCTGACAGCCCTTGGGATTTCTGCCTTAGAGTTCAACAGCCAAGTGGAGAGAGGGTCTCGAAAGGAGGCACAGGTGGCAGCGCGTGTCACCTGTTACACCTCGGGACAGAGACAGCAACAGTGCCGGGTCTGCTTGTGGTCCAAGTAGCCCTCATTCGTGCTCTGGGTGTTGCATTCCACACTGGATCGAGGTTGAAGAGCGTATCCTGAATCCCAGCTCCGGCGCCCTAATCTCTCAAATTGTTTGGAAGAGCTTAGGTTTGCAACGCTTCCTAAGGCCCTGAGATGTTCTGAATTTTCACGCAGACCAAAAAGACGTTCCTAAACATGTCACAGAAACTTCGAGCTTCTCCTTGTGTTGGATGGGCCTTTAATTAATTAATACTAAAAATTGCGATTACGATGGCGCGCACCGAATTAACCACCATAACTTTGCACAGCAAGAAAATTCTGCCTGAACAAGAGTTTCGCAAATAAGGGCGCAGCCGGGAACAATTTTGTGGCGACTCTGAGAAGACAGAACGCGGAGAAGTTGCTTCTGATGCTCCGAAGCCCTTTTTTCACCACCAGCACATCTCCAAAACAACAGGGGAAAAGTGGACCTGGCCCCGCGCAGGCCTGGCGGCTAAGCTCCCGAGGGTTTGCAGGGAGCACCGCGCTCGGTTTACAGACAGAAAATTAATGCTTCTTGGGGACGGGAGGCGCTGAGAGAACGGGTTCTTTGGACTCACCAAAGGAATCTGTAGAGACCTGAATGGGGTGCGACAGCCGATCTTAGGCCCCAGGATCCCGAGGGCGCTGAAGCCCTTCCTTACCTTCCAGCGGGAACCCGCTGCGTGGGTAGTTCTGCCCCGGGCCCGGCCGCATCATCCTGGGCACAGCGCCGGCCAGCGTGGTCATCCTGGGGGCAGCTTCGCTCGGAAATTATATCCAGGTGAAGCCGAAACGGAAAAGCGAGCTCGGCGCGGCGGGTGACCCTCGGGAACTCTCCAGAGCGTGAAGAGCTCCTCCCCAAAAAGGCAGGAAAGAGAGGGAGGGACTCAGGGAGGGGGGCCGCTAGCTCCTAATCCAGAGGCTGGAGATGGAACCCGGGAAAGGGGCGGGCGGGGAGTCAGTCCTCAGAGTCCTGGATCCCAAGCCCAGGGCGGAAAAGTTTGGTGCGAGTCTGGTCTAACCGCCCCGCAGCTGGGGGTGCTGCGAAGGGGGTTCAAAGCGCCACGACGAGGGGGGAGGGGCGAGGCGCGAGCGCGGCCTGAGTCTCCTCCCGTCGTGACACCGAGTGCAGGGATCCGGGCTAGCGAGCATTTATTAGTTCTTTCACCCAAAGCTTGGTCAGGAGCCCTGAGCTGCGATTGGCCGACGAGGAGACCGTCCCGGGTGGCAGAGACACGCGCTGATTGGGCGACAGCGGCCACTTTCTCTTCCCATCCCTGACTGTGCCGAGGCGTCCGCCGACCCCAAGAGGGACCCGCGCTGCGCCCCTTCCCGAAGAGAGAAGGGTGGAGCGGTGGAAACAGGGAGAGGCAGCCCGAGGGTGATGAGAGCTGCTGAGCGTAGAAAGGAGTCTCTGTCTCTGTCACTCTGTCTCTGTCACTCTCTCTCTCTCTCTCTCTCTCTCTCTCTCTCTCTCTCTCTCTCTCTGGGTCTCTCTGGTCTCTATCCCTGGCTTCCTATGTCTGTGTCTCGGTCTCAGTCTCTTTCCATCTCTGTGTGTAGTGCCTTCCTCTATCTCTGGTCTCATTCTGTCTCAAACGCCCTTGGTTTTCCACCTGTGGGTCTCTCTCTAGGCTTACTGCCACTGCAGGGGGCGCAATTCCAATGAGAAAGCATTGGGAGCCCCAGTTTGGGTTGAGTTTTCCTTCCTCTGGTCTGTTTGTGCCCCTTAGCCTGGGCTTGTTAGGGGATCCTGCCAGTGGGGGATCCTCTCAGGGAAAGCCCAGGGTGGGCCCATAATGTTCTTTTGTCCTCTCAGTCCGGGGGATGAGGAATAGGTGAGGTATAGTTTGACAAGTGGGCAGCAGTGGCTAGGCCCTTGCAATATTAGTTGAAGGCTGGAGGTGGGGAGTCCTCTCCTTTTCTTGGTTAAAAAACCCCTCTGGGAAGAAAGAGCTCTAAATCTCCATATAGAGATCCCCGATGCAAAGATGCATCTATATGGTAAAGTTTTGCCCGGCTGCAGCGTTTGTTCTCAGGAATTTATTATAGCATTCAGACTAAACTGCTGGAAAAATAAAAGGAGCGAAGTCTTGGCTAGGAGCTGAAGTGTCCCCAGCAGGATATGACGCCAGGAGTGTTGTAAAGACTGTCTGTCCTTAGAGAAGGTACCATTGTGCACAGCCTTTTATTTATAACTTGGTAAGTGCCAGCGAACTCGCCCCCTTTACACCCCCAGTGCCAGCCCCGCGTCCTGCACTTCGCTTTATTCGCTCGCGTCTATTCAGGGACTGTCACTCCGGGACTGCGACGTATTCAGGGCCTTAATCAATCAAAAGGATGAGAATTGGGCAGGTTTTTCCCTTTGAAATAAAGGAAACAATGACTTCTGGGCTTCAAGTTCCCCCTTTTCCTTTTACCATATTGGAATTTTTCCTGCCCTGGAGTCCTCCACCCCTCTTTCTGAGTCCCCCTTCCCCCACCTCCTTTGACAGTTTTGACGTGAACTCAGGCCCCCAATCCTACTTGCCCACCCCCTAATTAAGGCAAACTCAGAAGCCAAGATGGGGGGGGTAGCTGCTCAGCAATCCATGAGTTGGCCTTTTAAGAACCTATTCCCAGTGGGGAAAGCAGACAAACTCTCCACTGGACCTAGTGTCAAAAGGCTTGATTAACCCTGGGAGACAGGCCTCTGGAGACTCCAGAAAATGTCTGGACACCCCCTCCACCCCCATCCCCTCACACACACATACACACACCACCACATCCACCCATCTTTGGGGAAGGGCACATGACCTCAAAGTACAAAGCAGGGAGGCTGCTTGGAGTGGAGGCCTGTTTAACCTGGTTTTGCACAAAATGATTCAGTTTGTCAAAGGGAAAACCTCTTTTCCTTATTGTGGACTAAGGGCCATCGAGTCTGTGCCCTTATTTCCTGAACTACTTGTCATGGGATGGTATCTACAAAGCTAGACTTTTTTCCAGGTTTTCTGCCTCCCAAAATTTGAGTGGAACTCTGGGTCGGTGACAATTGTTTCAGCAGGGAGGTAGCTAAAGTCTATTTCAAGAGGAATCCCAAATGCGTGGTGAATGTTAAAAACCTGTTAGCGCTGAGACTCATTTGTTTTTGAGTTGAGGCTGGTTCTCCAGGGCCTCACGGCATTGACCATGCGCCTGCCCAGTGATCTTTCCCCAGAGCCGGCACAAATTTCAAGGGATGCATTTGCTTAGACCCTTTCCTGGGGTCCCGAATTCCCCGGGGCCCCGGGGCCCCCCCCTGTACTCCCCAGGGACGCTTGGATGGAGATGCTGCCAGTTGAGTGCTCACGGACGCCTGTCCCTAGTACACTCATAAACTAGCCGCCACTTCCTATAAAATTGCACAATTGCAGACCGCGAGAATGTGTGAAGGTCAGAGACTCTGAGGCTCCTGGGTGGGGAGATGAACCCTTTTTTTTTTCCCTCCTTCCCAGCTACTTCCCTGCTGAGCCTCAGCGGGCACCGGACGGCTAGGCCATTTCCAAAGCCCTTGGGAGTCCAAATTCCCTGTGGCCGGTGTTCTAGATGTCCGACCCAGGAAGGGGCAGGATAGCGACATTGGCTGAGGTTTCCATGCTGGTGGCCCCACCCGCCGGCAGATCAAGTCAGTCCCCAGAGCACAGGACTGGGCAGAACCCTGAGCAACAGGTCGCTGGAGCGTCTGTTGATAGGGTTTCCTAGAGGTTTGGCAAGACGCATCCGGGTTAGATACCCAGCCCCCTTTCCGTCCCTGAGGCTTGGAACTCGTCCTTATAGCTTTCCAAAGTCACCCCACCCCAAATTCTCTGCTGCTGGAAGAAGTCGTCAACCAGGCCACTTCCACTCCTTGGAGCCAGTGGGCCACGAAGTCAGGAGGCCGAACGCGGCAACGGTACTTGGCGCTAATTGGCAAAAGAGTGACCCAGCAGAGGAGCTTGGAAGGCGAAGCCCTGATCCCTGATCCCGGGTTTGGAAAGCATCATCCCTAGCACAAGCTGACAAATTACGCAGAAAACGTCCAGGGATGTCCCCAGACGGCTTTGTGAATGATCCTGGCGTCCACCCGCGCTATCTGCGCACTTGTAAAATGAAACTGGAGTCCTGAGGAGGGAAAAAAAAAAACGTTGCTGTTGCCTCCCCTGCCCTTCTGCTCCGCCCCGCCCCCTTTTCAGAGGCACTTCAGGTGACACGGACAGTGGGCTGGCTTGTCCAGTCTGGGTGAAGCATGTCTCGGTCACTTGAAGGCTCTTCCTCAGTGGATTTAGATGGGTGGATCTACACCCAATCGCGGTTGGATGGCTTCTGCCTGAATGCCGTCCCCCAGTGTGTAGGCTTCTGGCTGGGGAACCCCTGCAAGCATTTCATGACCCATGAGCTTTCAAGAACTCTTAAGGGATGACCTCACTTCCAGATGGACACGGGTCTTAAAAGAAAATTACAATCTGTGTAAAATAATGTCCCTGGCCGCGTGAGGGTCGGGGGAGGGTAAGATGGTGGCGTCTGACACCTAGGCCTTTTCTGCACAATCTGGAGGGCAGATCTCTGGGACACTAGCGTGGTCTGCCGGGAAGGGCCTGGCCTCCTCTCGGGTCTCAGGCGTGACTCTCAGGATGCACCCCCAGGTTAGACAAATGCCTGGAAACCCTCTGTCCTACAGAACGGATGCCCAGCGCTCACAGGGAGGAAGTGAAAATTGATCACGAGCTTCCAGGCCAGATGCAATTGTACGGATTGGTGACTGTGCGGGTTAGCCGCCGCTGCCACCGCGACCATCTTTAGGCGCCACTATTCTCCCCATCAGAAAATTGGTCCAGTCGGGAGGAATTCGAATTTAGGAACTGGATGGGTGAGGATCTAGGTGCCGCGCTGAAATGTGGTTTGGGCCGGCCCCGCCGCAGTGGGTTTGCCCCTGCTGTGCCCCGGCGGCGAGGGAGGCGCGGGGAACTGTGAGCCCGTTCTCAATAAAGAACACATGGTTTGTGGGAAGGAAGGAGGAAAAGAGGAAAGGGAAAAGGAGAGACCAGGAAAAGAGAGAGAGAAAAAAAAAACTTAAAAGGTACTGAAAGAGGTAATGAATGCACCTCACTGCGACTGGCCTCCTACACACGTTCATTTGGGTCTGCGAAATTATCTTTATGCAAACAAGACCAGAAGCCAAAACCAAAGCCCAATTCTCCAGAGGAAAAGAACGTCTTGGTTTTTTGTCTGTTTGCTTGCTTGCTTGCTTTTAAATTAGAAATAGTCCTCTCTGCATGATTTGGTAAAAGTTCACTGGGGAAGAGGATTTAATATTTCAAAGAGAAAATTCGGTGACTGCTGTAGGGTGGGGGGATGGAGAAAGAGAGAGAGAGAGTTATTGGGCATGGGTCTTCCTTTTCCTGGCTGGTGTTGAGGTTGAGGACAGTGCAGCCTGGGCCTTGGGTAAAGGATCTATTTGGAGGCCAGCGAGGGTCGAGGTGGAGGCGGGAACACAGCTGGGAAAAGGCCTGCTGGGTTTCGGAGCGGACTGAAGACGCCTGGAGCAAAAAGGTGGTCAAACCACCGCTCCCGGAACTCCTGCCCCAGGGCATCTGAACAAAAAGAGCTGGTACTGTGGATCGCGCTCCGGGGGCTAGCCGAGTAAGGGAATGGGGGAACACTGGTGAGAGGGGAGTTAACAGGCCTTTTGCTTGGATCAGTACAGACCTCCCTACCAATCTACACGACCCCACTGCCTAAGCCTGGGCACCGTGCTGCTATTCTTCTCAGCCTGGATCCCATCAAACCCTTACTCCCCTCTCCCCAGCAAGGAATTTTTGTCAAAATGATTTAAGCTGGAAAGGAGAGGGTCGTTTGACCGCAAAGAGCAAGAAGAGAGAAACCTGAAAGACAAATGTTCAAGCTGGACGAATCCCACAGTGAGGTCACAGGAGCCCGAGGCAGAAGGCTGCGCGAGCCCAGTACCCACGGTCCTGGGATTTTATTGGTATGCCTGGAGTCGCAGTTAACAGGTGGGAAGAGGCAAGGTTTCCAGGCACGGGGCGCGGCCCAGCCAGAGACCTGCGAGGCGCGGGCCTAGGACAGGATGGAGATACTGGGGAGCAAGCTGCGTGCACCTGCCTCCTCGCTGG